AATATTGATTATATATTAGAAAATATAGGTATTGTGTCAGATTATCACTTGCTTCTGGCAACAGGGAATACAATAAACATAAGGACATAAAAAGCAGGATTTTAAGGTGAACAAAATTTCAGATTTATCATATAATAAAAAAAGGAATCATTAGTTTTAATTAAATTCATAATTGAAGCTGCTCGTTTATTGATGATTGTTTTTGTAATTAGCCGTCTGATGTTTAGTGGGTGTGTGACAGCAGGGACACATTGTGTGTTTTCTCATCTGTCTTGGACATCCAGCCATGAACGACTGAAACCGAATACAACTGGGCTGGTGAACATCAGAAATCGTTCATGTCTGGACATCTTTATTCAAATTTATTCATTTTTAGATATTTCTATGAATATAAATGTATTTCCCCATTGATTATTTGATATTCAGTGTTTGTCTTTAATTCCATGAATATTAATTATTTCTGTAATTAGTAATTCGCTTCCTTCTCTTTTCACTGTTGGCTTTGTAACTTTTATGCAGTGGGAAAAAAAAAACAGATCATCTTGTAGTAGGCAGAGAAACAACCGGTCCACCATGATGACGCAACATCGCCTTCCCATGGCTCCCTTTTACCTTGCTTTTATTGACCAAACGTCTATGAATATTAAAACCCAAGGGAAAAATAAAGCCAGAAAACATTGAAGCGAGGCGAGAATTAAAGCAGAAATGTGGCGGACAAACGGGAAGAGGAAGCTAAAGCTACGCTAACTGGACTCTGAAAACTGCAGAGATAAAATGTGATGCTTTTGTTCGTCTTTGTCTTTTTTATTCCCGCAAACCTTGGAGCGGGTTTTTAATTGACTATTGAACTCTTCCTTACTCAAAAACTTTTCCACAGAAACCTGGGCGACAGCGGCAGCGGCTAACGAAATGGGAGATTCACTCAGATAACAGAAACAAACACCGTCTTTGAATCAGGTCTCCGCCTGGAAACCTTGCTGCCTCCTCCTCCGTCTCCTGCTCAGACCAGTTATTGTTTTTGTTGCTTGCTTATTTTATTAGGAACATCACATAATATGGTAAAATTAGCTGTAAAGGCTAGTTTACATCTGTTGTCCCTCAAGGTTCAATCAATATAAATGCAACACACACAGGAAAATGAATATGCTTCTTCCATCAAAGCAGACAATAATAATAATGATGATGATGATCATGATCATGATGATGATAAATAAAAAAAACATATCAGGTTACAAAAAAAATAAAAAAACACAAAAGTTCACCACAATACAAATACATAAAAGAGATAAGATAAGAATCACGATCAATATGAATCAAATGTGTCTACATATTTGATCATCTAAGAGCCATCATTTTAATTTAGTGGAAAACGATTGGAAAGACTGAAATACATTCTTACGTTCTCTGGTATTTTGTGACGAGTAATCATGAAACTACTATGTTCATTGGCTCATTAGCAACAAAAACAGACGATTTACGCGACACCTCGGTTCTGCAACGTTTTCATTTGATTGCCTTTTTTTTTTTTTAAACTGTTCCTTGAATGCTATTTTTCCCCAGATGTGATGTCTGTGAATAAGCACCAATTGTGTTTTGTGTCTTTAATCTAAAAACTTCGTGTTAAACACCTGTTAGAAAAGCCTCGACCACACCAAATTACACGCGGTAATTAAATGACGTCGCAAAGCAGACGGTATCTCCGCGTAACCTCGATAAAAGTTCCCCCCTCATAATTAATAACATTTCTTCCATTTGTTGTGTATTCATGTGAATTTACGTTCATTTAAAGTCAACAAAAATTCCTCTTTGCTCAGCAGCTGAAGCTGTTGGCTAAATCGGCGACTCCGGTTAACGCCCACACCGCTCACCTATAGCTGATCCCTTCTGGTGCCAGTCTGTAAAAAACAGCAGCTGCGTCTCTCTTTTCCCCTTGAACCAAAAAAAAATAAATAAATAAAAAAATAAAAATAAAATAACAACAAATAACAAGCAAAGTTTGGCCTGCAAGCGCATCGGGAAACTTCCTGTCAAGTTTGGAAGAAAGTAAGCCATGGACCAAATGTCCCCTGAGCCAAACACCGGCTACATTCTCTCTCTTTCTCTCACACAAAAAAATCATACATCACATCAAAAGCAGCATGGGACCCGGCAGTTTAAATAGGCGGTGCATTCAAGCTGAAGTGCCAAACAGCCTAACATGGTGTTTTCACTCTGGGCTGCGTCAAACAGGAAGTGTTTTCAGAGCGGCTGCACTTTTCCGGGGGAACCGACCGACAAACCCGCCTGCTTTATTGATCCCAATTTGCCGGATGGGAGCAAAAGCAGGAATACTGAGAGAACAAACACGCAGAGTCCAGAACAAAGCAAATGAGCAGAGTGCAACGCATCAGCGTTCATGTGTTATTGAGGGTTTTTTTTTTGCATGTCGTCACTGTAGAGCCGCAGTCTGGAGAAAGATCTTTATGTAATAGAGCAACACAAAGTAGAACAGAAATGTGAAACGATTTGTGGTTTTGTGGTGAGTTTTCTTTTGTTTTTTTGCGTCACCAGGTCAACTGCTTCACCGTTCCTTCCAAGGAGAGAAAGCCCCTCACCATCATACTACCACCACCATACTTAGCTGTGTTCATGATGGTGCATTTAAGGTGATGTGCTTGCTTGGTTTTTTTGCTTGTAGGGCAACAAGTTTTATGTAAAACTTCTTCCACGCCTCCACTCGTTCCCATTTGTTTCCTGTGTCTCCAAAGTGATGGCTCCCGTCCTCTTCCCTCCTTTTAGATGAAAAACGGATTCAGAGTTTGGAATATTTTTCCTCTTCTTTTAAATATATCGCTTTTCCAATCATTCTGACCACTCAAAATGCTTTACACTTGAGTCATCCGTTCGCACGCACAAACGCACACACACATTTATACACTGATATGCAAAGTGCCTCACCAAAGAGCACATCAACATGTGGCAGGAGGAAGCTGGAATCGAACCTACAACCTTCTGACCCCACCCACAAGTTGCCCCACTACTTCATCTCTTTCCTGTCTGTTTTGTTTCCAGGGTGCTGTTTATTTTCCATTGTTCTACGACAAAACTTTTCAGAACAGCTGAATTCATACAGAGATTAAACTACAGACAGCTGGACACTGATTTTATAGGCAACTTGTAAAAGGAATTTGTAGCACAGGATTGTGTTTATCAGTGTCAGGGTACAAATTCTGATTTTGATTTGACACATTTTAAAAAAAAAGTGTCCTGTCCCTTACGATGCACACATACGCCCCTCTTTGTGTTGGTCTGTGGCATAATGTCCCTATAAAACACACATTTGTGGACAAGGCATGAAAAAAAGTAGCAACACTTCATGGAGTGTCATTACTTTTGTAAATTAACCTATCAATCCAGCCATTGTCTATAAATGAAGGGTCAATGGGGGGGGCTTGATGTCCATTTCCAGCAGCCATTGGGTGAGATGTGTGTCACAGAGACACACAGGACAAACACCCAGGCACACACACGATGTTACAGTGTCAACCCTCATGGTTGTTCACACCTATAAAGACCAAGTGACGAATTAGACGATCCTACAGAGGCATCTGAATGTTTATGCAACACATTTCTATTTTTGGTTTGCAGAGTGGATATTAAAACTTCAAACTCTGTTAAAGTGCAAAATGTTTGCTAGGTGAAAAATAGGACCACATTAATCATAATCATCCACTACTGTATTTATAACACCAGACACACGTAGAGTTAAATCACCAATATTTGATGGAAGTTGTGTCTCCTAAAAGACTCCAACATGAAATTGAAAAAATAAAATAAAATACAGGGTGTGTGCACAGGAACACAACCAGATTATCTCAACATTTTTAAGATTTTTTTTTTTTTTACATCTCCTCCTAACAGATGTGTTTATAACTTGTTGGATTGTACAACATACATGTCAGGACATGTTTACTGTGTGACAAAAACCAGGTTTTTGACCAGGGCTCGTGTCAACCTCTGTGCGCTACAGTGTCAGAGTTTCCAGGGTCGACATGCTGCAGAGAAGAGCTTCCACCGCTCAGCCCCGCCCCCAAACACAGAGACACGCCTTGGACTTGGCTCCATCAGTAGCACAGCCATCTATCGCGTCGACCGCTAAGACCCGACACCAGCGCTCACCTCAAGCGCAGGCGTTGTCCAGGGGCTGATATAAACTGTAACCTCTAATGCGAACGACGGGTGAGTCCTAACGCATGTCTCGAGTGGTCTGCATATTTAACTCCAACATCTATGAAAGCCGTTTAACCCGAGGTTTGAGAGAGAGAGAGAGAGAGACTGTCAGGATTTTAACCCTGCAGCTTCCTCTGTGTGTTGTAAATCCTGTAGGCCTCATGGAAGTTGCCTGTGCAGCTGTCATGGTGCCCCATTGATCAGCGTGCCTGCTCTGGGTGCATTAGGTAATGAGAGAATCTGCAATGCACAACAGAAAAGCAGGAGGAACACGGTCAGTCGGGGGAGAAGACCTGGGCTTGCTGAAAGGGGTAAACAAACATTTATCAATCTGCAGGCCATACACACACACAAACACACAAACACAAACACACAAATACAAACACCCAACTGAAGCTGCATCTGCTCATTAGTGCCGATGGTAGGAACAAAGACAACCGTTTTCCTTCACGCCACCTTCGCCGTCTCCGTTTGTCTCAATTCCCCGCCCGTCCCTCGCTGCTCAATCTACAGAGAAAACGCCGGCTTGAGTGTCAGTGTGTGTTTTGTCACGGCATTCTTCCTTTTTCATCGTCGGCTTCAAGATCATTAAAGTTTGGAGAAGCTGATTTGAAGGCACAGAAGAGGCACCCCGCCACCCCCCTTTTTCTTTCACCCCAACCTCCCCCAAACGGCGGCTTCGAGATAAAAGGAGGAGGAGGAGACGGCAGAAAGCCGAGGCAGGAAATAACGAGGCAGACGTAATTGGGGATGGAGTGGCAACAGAAGCGGACAAGATGGTTGTTCCTTACGTGGAAGGAGGCTCTCTCCTCGCGGTCCAGGGGCTGGGTGACAAACATGTTGCCGCTGATGGGGTCTATGTTGTAGATTCCGCTCGGAGGCTGATCGGCGCCGGCGCCCGTGATGCTGTAGCGGATGCCGACGTCCTTATCCTGATCCGAGCGGATCTGCGGGGAGATTCAGACAAAACAAGTTCAGCAGAGAGGAAAATCTGTTCCTTAGTCCCCCCTCGCCTTTCAGACTTTTCCTGCACTTTGTGGAAAAAAAAAGTGAAAACAAAAAGAGAAAACATTCAGGCAAGAGATTTTTGACATGCGGGGCTTTGCAGCAGAAGCCTTATCCCTTGATCTTTTTCACAGTCTGTTTCACTATCGTTTAAAAAAAAAGCAAAAGTCAATGTGTTTGACATTCTGTATAAAAGGCCAACATAAAGTGAGGCATAATCGTAAAGTAGAAGTAAACTCTTGTTTGAAACATACTGACAAGTAGAAGAGAGTGTCGCCATGGTCAGCTGAAATCAGAGTTTTAGTTCTGAGCCTGCGTGCAAACGTGTGTCAGAAAATTTACAAGGTCATTTAAAATTTACCAGGCTGTCACAGTTACTATTTGTAAAAAAGAAGAAAAAAAAAACTGTAGCAACCAGTTATCTGTTGGTCTGTTCCAGGGATCTGCAGCCTTCACAGCCCAGAATCTCGTCTTACCCTCAGTGTAGCCAAAAAAATCCTCGTTTAGAGCCAGACATTACGCAGCCCTTTGACAAAGAAAACTTTCATTGTAATTTGATTTGTCATTTATAAATGAGTCAACATGTAATTTCTATACTGAGGAAAATGAAATAAAATTCAACATAAGATGTTTGCAATAAGAAGATGGATACATTGTCTTCTATAGGATGTTATTTGGGGAAAACGATGTAAAAGAACAGGTTCCAACCTAAAGACTAGAAAAGATCATGTGTTTGTCATGTTTAGATGGTGGTTGATGGAGGACCCAAATGCAGAATAGCGAAAAGTTGGAGTAGATGATGAGAAAGGTTCCTAATGAAGAAATGATGAAGAACAAACTTACAGAATATCCACAGAGAGCCAGAGCAAAATGCAAAACATAATCCAAGAAAGCAAAAATGTGCAGAAACATAAGGGGAGCGGAGTGGAACTGGGAAGTGATGGAAGGAACCAGGAAGGAGTGACTGAGAATGAAGCTTTTGAATACTGGGGAGGCAGAATGCTGAACAGAGGGTCTGGGCTGATGAGATAACTGACTGCAGGTGTGAGGGAAGAGAGAGAGAGTGTGTACACAAGCAGTTTAAACATAATTAAACTAGAGTAACTAAAAATAACCTGACAAAAAAAATTAATATTATAAACTAGACTAAGGACTGAACTAAAGAAAAGCAGAAACATGACTGATCTAATAAAAGGAACTAAGGTACACAGAAATTGATAAAACTCGAATCACAACTAAATATTGTATTGTATACTTAAAAACATTATTATTGTTATTTATCTTATTAGCCAGAGATGTAAAGAGCCATTGTAGAAGATCCAAAGAGCCACTTGCTCTTTGGTCTATCCAATAAAATTCAGAGGAAAAACCTTGAAGGTTGTAGTTATGACCTGACAGAAGGTGAAAATGTTTATTTAATACTTTTGTAAGGTGAAACTGTCCAAAAAAAAAAACAACAGATGCCAACATAAAGCCACAGTTTGAATGAAAACCAGGACTATGTGGGCATTATGATAGATGCACCGTGATTATATTTGCACCGCAATCTTTCCTAAATGTCAACACTTTAATCTTATAGCCTAAAGGTGAGAATAAAAGATCGAGCAGTCTCTGTGGATGGAAACAGATCCATGTTGGGCCACACTGATGGCAGTCTGAACCTCAGTGAGCTTCCTGGATTATACTCCCATGCTTATTGTTCACCCACTCATAGAAAACCAATAACTCAGAACGCCAGCTCCACCTTTCACACCCCCAACGAGTTTTCAAACTCATCCTAAATGTGATGTTTAAATGGGAGACACATTTTGCTTTAAGGAAGGTTTCATTATTATTGCTGATCTGTCAATAAAAATATCTTTCTTTCTTTTTTGCGCTGTCTTGCACACTTGGAAGAAGAACTAGTGGGATGGGCTTGCAGCATTTCTTCCTGTGGAATAGATTTTTGGTGAGATTTTCAAGGATTCTGCCTTTTCACCCAACGGTACGGCAACATTAACCTGGCATCACTTTGGAAAAGTCGGGGGTAAAAACATGGAGTTGTTTGTAAGTTGGTTTACAAAGACCGCTGGCCCTCACAGCTTCTTTATTGCATTCCCGATAAAAGAATAAAAGCTTGAAGGAGAATGGGTTCGTTTGTTTAGAGGGGAAGGAAGACAACATGACAGCAGAAGCAGAACTTTTACTCAAAGCTAATGCATAGATTTTAGGTCAGAGAAACAAAAGACAGAACTTCACATTTAGCAATGAAGATTAATTTACTTTCTTCTTTCTAGAAACAAATGGGACGACTGACACCCATTTAAAAATGTATAAGTTCATTTCATACTTGAGTTGAGCTGGAAAACAGCCAGTTTGGCTAAAGTTAAATTTCATCATGGCACAGCCGCTTTATTAAACAAATGGTAACCCTCCAAAAGCGTTTGACACTTTTTGACACAAAATGGTGGTAGAAGAATCATTCTGTGGGGACGCTTGTCTTCAAGGATGGAAACCCGTCCATAGGGTTTGATGTTAACTCAATGAATGGGTTAACATCAAAGCATTTTAATGTCTTAGAAAAGCCTAGTCAAAGTCCTGCTCTAAATTCAGGTGTTCATGTTCCCGTTCCCTTCTGAAAATACATGGACACATATTTGTTCAACAACCCTCTTGTTTGACCACTTCACCCTGCACTTTTATTTTCAGCATCCTGTAAATCATCACTATGGTTACTACTATGAGGAAATAATCAAAGAATCCAATGAAGAGAAAAAAAAAAGGTATGTTTGACTGCTTTTTTTTTTTCCCCTCCAGCGCTATCTTTCTCTTCCCCTCCTATGCAATTTTGCTGGTCTGTGGCGCCGCAGATCATCCATGAAAATGAAATTACTTCATCCGTTCAGCGGTGACAGAGGCTGCTGCATAAAACATTTCACTGTTTGAACATGATACTCCCTCCAACCCCCGCCACTCTCTTAATTTCCAATGCCGCCCCACTCCCCGCACCCACAGTGAGGCACTCCGCAGCCGCTTTCACTGGCGCAATTTCCGTTTCCCCCCCGAGCTCACGTCACACGTGGTCCATTTGTGGGCTCTGCAGGTAATGCACGGGGATTGCGTAACCCCCGACGACCGCTGCACACGCTGCTCTGTGTGGACCGCGCGCTCCGTCACGACACCGGAAGCCTTAATTACATTTATCGTTCACTTTCTGTCAATCAAACCAGAATGTAATTATGGAATAAATAATTACCCCGAAGTGATCGTTCTTCCCCCCCTCCATCATTAGTGTCATCAGCTCGAATAACAAGGAAGTAAGGGGGAACTAAGCGATGTGCGTGAGAATCACTCTGCCACCTCTGTGAAATGACGCAAACATGCCGAGGAGTTGCTACAAGCTCGAACGAAAAAAAAGAAAAAAACAAAGCGAGGCAATCTTCAAAGTTGGAGGATATTGGCAAAAAGCTACAAAAGGTTTGTGACAGTGAAAGCAGAAAGAAAGGTAAACTTGTACAGGCTCCTTCTGATTGTATAGGCATGCAGAAGCTGAACACTACTAAAGACATTTAACGGGCTTTGGGGATTCTTCTTAGCATCTTGCACGCTGCTCTCATCGTGAAATTGCATAGATGGAATGTATAAGTCACAGTAAATGGTCATGTCACCTTAAAAAAAAAAAAAACACGTGATAATTGCTTTTTAGGAACCATAAAAAGCTGCAGGAAGTTGTGGGGATGGTATCGTCTCAACAACTCCCTGTGTTTGACTCACAGGGTGAAACAAAGTTCTCCTTCCATGGTTGAAATGCATGAGCCTCTAGAGCGTAAAGAACTGTACGCTAACTCTGAACAGGTACAGGGAAAAACTAAATAGAAACTGCGCATCAAATCATTTGGTAGAAGTTCTAGCCCACCTTCAGGTCTGTCCTAAAACCATAAATATTTAGGGGTTAATTAGTCACATATAAGCTAACATTTAGTTTTATGCCTCACTAATCTCACCAAACATGGAGAACCAACATCTAGTTTTATCAGAACAAGAATCCAGAGATCCCCCTACTAGTTTATAAATAACTTATTCTTATCAAACATGGGTAACAATATGTAGTTTTATACTTTTATCTTTTTGTCTTTCTTTTGGTTTTGTTGTTTGAATTTCCTTCTTGTTCATGTAAAGCACTTTGAACTACCTTGTTGCTGAAAATGTGCTATACAAATAAAATTACCTTTAAACCATAACAAAGAAAAAAACATTTATTTAAAGTTCAAGTTGTGTTTCGTGACACACTTGACAATAAAAGTGTGTATTCACTGTTGATTGATAACAATTAAAAGAGGTCTACAACCCCAATAAAGCAAAGTTTTCTTTTCACAAAAACAACTCATTATTCACAAATCACAAAACTTGCCGCTGAAGTGTTTAACGAAGAGCAATAATAATTAACTACAAGTTTATAATTAGAGCTGATCAAAATGAGACCAAGTTTGTTTTTTTTCACATTTCATGTGTCGTTATTTTAATTTTTCACGGTAATTCATGCAACATTGCCGGTGTGCAGACTTGCGACTGCGTGCTAAAACATGCAGCATTACCCAAAGACGGAACGTTTACTCACAGAAAGCAGAAACTAATCCAAATAACTGTTGACTAATTGGACAAATATTTAGAAATGAATCAGCCAGTATAATAACCGTGGTCCCTCCACAAACATCCTCATCTCTTCAGCGAACCTTCAAAGCCAACCGAACGGTTGGCACGCCGGCGCGACCCTCCCACGAGACGACGACGACGACCTCTGCTGTGGATTTTTCCACATGAAGACCTCCCGAGACCACATGTCACGCTCTCTACTGTCTCTTAATGAAGAGTCTTTATGTGAATAAATTGAACACAAGCGCAGCTTCCTGGAGGCCCGGGAATCCCGTGAGTGACAAATGCTCTATTGAGCCATTTGAATGGA